AATGGCATCAAGGTCACCCTCCAGCGGCTTCGGGCGGAGTCCATGGTGCTGCACATGGTGCTGCGCATGGTTCGCCGGGGGTGCCCAGAGTGACCATCACAGTCTTGGCCGCCACATTGGTGACCAGATTAGACCAAATCTATCGTTGAATCGTTGAACACCACCATTTTGGTAAGTACTTTAGTGCAGCTGGACTCCCGCAGACCAGTGAAAAAGACGGGCAAACCCGCTGCCCATGGACTCGGCAAATAGTCCAATCGCGCGGTTAGTCCAACGCCGTCGGCGCCGATCCCAAGGATCAAGTTTAACTGTCACAAAGACTCTGACCATTGGGTGCAGAACTCAGGAAGCTTCGGCAGACACAGGGCAGCTAAACCAACCAACCGAGAACGCGAAAAAAACGCGAACAGGCGAACAGGTACCTGGCCGTCAGTGCTTGGTTTGTTTCGCTTAGGAAGACAGGTGGTCCCCACCGCAGAAGCACTGGACCGGGCCTCAAGACGACACCGAACGACCGGTCGTCGGGGCGTTCTTTTGGGCGTTCGGAGGTCTCTTGTAAGCACGAGTCAAACAAGCACCAGAATGATGGTTGATTCCTCAAAGGCCCAAACAACAGAATGAATAAACATTTGATGATTTATTGATGTTTTCAATCGTTTTCATATGATCATATTGACATATTGAGGATTCTACTCAAACCTTCGACGAGTCTCCGAGTGTTTCGCCCGGGTCACGACTTGCGTCACCGAGCGGGTCACACCAGGTGTTGGGTGCACTACCACATTGGCTACCACCAGCTGTTCAATTGCCATGTCGGACAGGCGTTTTTTGGTCCAACGATTTGCATGTGGCATGCCGGTGTGAAGAAATCGTCCTGAACTTCTCTCTCTGTCGAAAACCTGTCTCCAGGATCATAGGATTGCTTTCATTCCGCTAGGCAACCGCCTGGAGCATCCCGAAGAAGAATTGGTGTGAAACTCGGGTCTCCGCGTCCTTCCCGAACGAAAACCGCGGTTGGAATCAACAAACCACTGGTGTAGATGCCCACACGAACGCCGGTGTTTCAACTAACCAAACCCGAACGCGCCATGTGATGCCAAGTGAACGAGGTGTTGCACACAGCTGAATATTTGCCATAGCTCTTCAAATGGAGCAGCCTTCGATTGCAATGCTGTCCGTGGTCTCAGCTGCGCACGAAGCGGGCGATGTGGGACTTGCGATGGTCCACTCTTGAGGCTTTGGGCAACTGGGCCTGAGCCTAAGGGAGCTGCCCTGTGTGACAGTCCGCTTTCATAGAAGTTGCTGCGGTGTCATGGTATCAAGGGTACCATCGTAGGGGTTCGGATACGGGAAACCAACTTCAAAACATACTGGCTCCCAGGAGAGGGCTTGGAGTCCAGCAAAGAAGAACTGGTTTGGCGGCCCAGATGACTTCGAGTTGGTTTGGTGGTCCGATAAGCCTCAACTCGTGTCGGGAGTCGGTTGGTTTCGCCAAGGTGCTGGACGCATATGCACAAGGGTGGACCTCCTGGTGGACACAAACCACCACCTCTAGCAGCGGTGCATGTCGTGCATCCACCTGCTGGAAGTGCTTGGGGTGCAGCAGGCGCAGGGAACCATCGCGAAAACTGGTTTGTGATCAAGAGGATAAGTGGCCAAAACGTTTGAAGGTAACACCGTGTTCATTTTCAAAGAGAATGGGGCCCATTCTTCATTACTAGGACCAGGGAGCAGTCCTTAAGTTGCGTGAAGGAAATTATACCATAAGCTTGAAGATTCTTGCGCTTCCTGGTGGCTTCGCTTTGACCGATCTCCATGCAAACAGGTGTACTTCCTGGTAGCAAGATGCAGGGCGGCGGCCTTGGTAGCGACTTTGATCGACTTGGTGATCTCCTCCTGTCAGGATCGACGGTCGTCTTGCATCATTTTGCATCCAATCCGAAGGTCAATTCAACTGCGCAGCAGCCCTGCAAAACTGGGCTCGGGGCCAAGCGGGGCAGAGGAAATTTGTGCGATGTTTTTGCGCTTTCGTACCCTAGAGAGTGAATGTGATACACCACTTGTGGGTCTGCAAGGAAGGGAGCTGATTCGCCCCGATTCGTCCACCGTGAAATGCAAGATGGAGGAAACACACACACACACATCATGCAGTAAAGTAGTAAAAGATAAACACACATTTAGCATTTGTATTGCTTCAAGAAGAGCTTGGTCGAAACATCACAATGAGAGCTTCTATTCTTTTTCCTTCAGCTCATCCCATATACCTGTGACCCCTGGGGTACCCACCTCGAGTACCGACCTCCGGTGCCTTTGGTGGACCGTCACCTCAGGAAGATGCATGGAGTCCACAGAAGAAAGTATGGCCATCACCTCAGTGTCGACCCAGAAATCCACTGGTTTGGATGTTGTTTCTGCCCAGTCGTTGCGGCAAAGGATACCAAAAACGAAAACAATCCCAAGAACGATACCTGCCTTAAAAACTTCCGGCCCCCTAGTTTTGCCGGTCGCTCACATAGTAAAAGTAGGCCCGTGCCTGCAACAGATACTGTTGACCAAAAGGGGGACTGTGTGATGTATATATTTGTTTGTTCATCTATCTTTACATAGTCAAGGACAGGTAGTAGGCAGAAAATTGCGCCACCACCCGTCCTTGACTATAATACGTATGAGTTCTGGCCGTTCCGGTCACGGGATGGACCGCTTCCTTTTAGACGGACTGAAGGACCGCCCGGGATCCAGGTGTTGGCGCCATCAGAGAGTGGGAGGTCCAGAAAGATTTAACTGTCATACACAGGCGCGAGAGTGGGGCCTCCGAAGTCTTCGCAGCATTCATGAGTGCAGACGCTCGCCACGCCCTCTTTCATACAGTGTTGGACAGACAAGCTTCAGTTCAAAAGGCTTGGCCCCAAACACAGGAGAAGTCTTCGCTTTGGATTTCATGCAACGGTGTCCGTGTGCTTGTGCCACAACCGTAGTTGGAGGCACAAAAACATGTAGACACAAGAAATCGCGTCGCTTGGCTCTCACACAAATGCAGGTCGCTCGTTGGTCTGGTGCCAAAAGATCGTGGTGGCTGCCTCGGCAAAATTTTTTCCTTAAGTCTCGAAGCACACGTGACCAATCGGGAAGGGAATAACAAGGGTATAACACACACACCAGGGTAGCCTGTGCTAGTGCTTTCTCCTTGTCGAGAGAATCCTAAGCTCAGAGTGACCGAATCCAGCGAATTTTTGGACCATATGAACTATGTATATATATATTTCTCAAGAACATTGAGCACCTGCTTCAATGCCTCCCTTTGTCACATTTACAACCACCTTTTGATCTTCACGTGGCTCAATCACCGTGTATGCGTCACAAGAACAATCTCTCGCCCTCAGGTTCTCAACCTGAATGCAATTTTGGGTCCTATTCATAACCTACCTTCTATTCCAATTTGATTTGCACCGGCAAGGGAATCACAAGTGCTCTTGTCGGCACCACTAGTTTGTCGTGACTGAATTTGTATGGCTTGAGGGGCTGCTGATGCATTTTTTCACACGGGTTTCTCAAAGTAGGGAACGCTTTGCAGCGTTTGCAGCTTTGTTGAAGCGGATGAAATGCCGTAGGGTCGTCCTGTTCAGAACCAGTTTCGTATTCCAGTGATTCCAGTGCCTTTGAGCTTCCTGAGTAGACTTGAATGAAGCAGTTCAAGAGCCAAGAGGGGGAAGCTTGACTGAGGTGCTGTGAAAATCACAGAAACACGTGCCCAGATCGTCGCCTGTGCGAGCCTCAGGCTTCCTTTGGGTTCGCTCGAATCAACTCTGGTGTATCTCTTTGTCTGACGGGATGTTTTGCTTGGGCAGCAAACACACGATCGTGCTCTTGATTTTTTGGAATACAACACGATTGCAAGAAGATTGACAAAAAAAGACATCATCAGCTGAGCAGGCCAAGTATCGAAAGAAAGCCGCTCTTGCTATTGTAGCCCAGGTCCGAGATCTTCACTTGATCGCAGGGAGCTCGGAGGAAAACCCAGCTCTGAAATCTGTTGGATCAACAATTCCATTTTGGACCAAACGCATGAAAGCAGAATGTTTTGGTCTAAAAGCGCATTCATGAAAGCACTTTTGGAGCAAAACGCTGTTACTTCTACTGTATTTTGTTTTAAACAGATCTTGGATGCAACTAGGAGCAAAGGGCATCGCTACTAGGAGCAAGGACGCTACTACTAGGAGCAATGTTCGCTACGCACGGAGCAAACTTCAAACTGGTCATGGGATGACGAGAGTCGCACCACGGTCCGAAGTCGTGGCCTTCATCCCGGCCGCGTTCGATCACGAGGTTGAATGCAGAGGTCATGTCCGTCCCCCGGACCTCTTCCGCGGGGTTTAGCTCAAAGTTCTACGCCCTTTGCCAGCACAACCTTGGTTCACACGCGCTTTGTATTGATGTGTGAGAGGGAGGACCATTCTTGGCTTCGGTGCACGAAGAAAGATCTAAGCTGGCAAAGGGCTGCGTACACCTGGTTTTGGGATCAACAGGATCCTAGCACCAGAATGCACAAACATCGCAAGATGACGAACCTCCAAACTTGGAATCAGCCTGATGTTCTGCCTGCGAGCCAAAGTGCTTTGGATGGACACGGTGATTGACATTTTCGGGGGTGGCAGGTTCTTAGCGCAAGGCCGAGGTGTTGCATTTCCAACCCTGGTAGGTTCGATCTGGGCCCTTTGAGACTTGCCACCTCATGGAATTCCTAGCGACAGGGTATGCGGACGACTGCAGGACGCACCCTGAATTAGAGCTGGACTCGCCGCTGGAGACAGATGACAAATGGTGTTGGAGTTGGAGGATGATTGAGGTACACTCCGACTCAGTAACATGGAAGTGGAAAGTCCCCTGTAAAGGAAAGTCGTCTTCCAAGTGGCCATTTTCCACTTCCATGTTAGAGGGAGTAGCTCCAAGAAAGACCACCAAAAGTAAAAACAAGAACTTGGCGATGGTCGTGCTGTTTGAGCGGAGATTCATTCGCACCTTTCCGCAGCTGGGGTCCGAGTATAGTCTCAAGTCTCAAGTTCTGAAAGGGTCAATAGCTGTACAGCTGAGAATCCCTCGAAAACGGGCCACGTGTTTATGCCAACTCCCAGTCCATGGAGCCTCTGGTCCGAGCCGCAGACGATCGACATGTTGACTGGGATTTACTGTACACCGTGTCATACGCTTGGTGTTCTTTTGTGTTACTTGGTGTTCCAGGGTTGAATTGAGGTGAGGCCAAAGTCCGCCATAGTGACTGAGAGGCGGAGTGGTGGAGAGCACTCAATTTGCTTGGCTTGGAGCAATGTTCGTAAGATTTATTTGCAAGCTCTGCCTCGACCGATGACATGTAGTTCCGGGGTCTTATATAAATCAGGGCTCCCGGCTCCGAACCAAAGCTTCCTGGTTTGAGACAATGAAATCACATGTTCCAATTATGCTTTCAGAACTTCAGAAAATTAGCCCCCAGCTTTTTGTGCCTCTTTTGATGCCATCGATTTGTTTGGGGCGATTGCCCCATTTCTGGACTCCCAACGCTTGGAGGCCTGATGCAAAGTCCAAACGCCCAACGTCGGCAGTAAGGCCTTTGTCCGCAAGGCCGACTGGGAAAAAACAAATTGGAGGCCATCTCTGTTAGATTGTAGGCCATCGCTTCTAGGTTGGAGGCCATCATCTTTCATAGGTGTGAGGCCATTGCTTCTAGGTTGGAGGCCATTTCTATTAGGTTGGAGGCAATCCCTTCTGAGGCCGTCGCTTCTAGGTTGGAGGCCATCGCTATTAGGTTGGAGGCCATCGCTATCAGCTTGGAGGCCATCGCTATCTGATTG